GTAAGGGTCAAAACTCTTTGTAAAACACAGATCTTATTTTTTGCGATTTTCCAAAAGTCTATAGGGAAAATGCAAAGCTTTTCGATCGAGGGAACCCATGCGCCGCTTGCTTCCGAGTTGTCCTACAAAGTGACGTCGTCACTTCGGCACTCTATTGGCTTACCTTAAGGTCTAAACTGAGCAACCAGGTAAACTTTGTCTTATTGGGATCATCTGCACTTGGTCGCATCACAATACAGGTAGGTCCATTCTCAGCCCTTAGAAAATAAGAACTGATTTAATACATTGCAAGAGGTTTGAATTTTTAGTTTTTGGTGGGGAGTGGTTCAAATTTTCTCCTACCTTACAAATCCTTTCTTCTCGGGCATTCCAGGGTGCTGAGTGGACATTCCGGCCAGGAAGCATGTAGATCCCCTGCGTTTGGCACAGCGGACACTAACAAAATCTCGTGGGCCGACCACATTTCCAGGTGTTTCACCTGAAACCTCATGGGTGATCATAGTATCCTGACCGATCTTCTGAAGAATCTGAGAGGAACCAAAACTGCATTAAATACCAAATATCTCCAAGCAACCATAGCTGTATGTTTTTACAACATTGTGATGGAGGCCTGTGAGTAAGATATGAGAAGATAAGCAGGCCTTCAAAAGTGCAGTGACTGTAAATGCACACAGGGCTGCAGCATAGGAATCTGGCAGTCAGTAGATCTATTTCTACCCACCTTGACTTGTTTGACATTGGGGTTCCACTCCCCCATTTGTTCCATGTTATCCACCAGCTCCTCATAAAGGTCATCTGTTTGCTGTTCAAGCATCACTTCCAACTTAAAAATCTTCCCAATGTCTGGTAATACTTTACTCATCACCTTATCTCCATTGACCTGACAGAGAAAAACCCACATGAAAAAGAACCAGTTTTAATTATTATTATTATGACAGTATGTATGAGCATAAAAAAAGTTTTGCAGCTCTAAAGGCCTTGGACACCAAAGTGCCGTATAAAACTGTATAATAAAATATGCATAATGCATCTATACGTGCAGGCCTCATCAGAATGAATGATGAAATATGATTATGATTATTCTTACAGTCTCAATCTCAGTTTGCCAGCCGTCCTGGTCACTGAGGATGCTGATAGACTTCTGCAGAGCTTCCTGTCCCTGCTGCACATAGCACTGCTCAGCTTCACTGAACGTCTCTTCTGCAATCCGACTACCTGTGCAAAGAAACACACACATATACTGTACAGTACATGATCATCTCCACAAAGAAACAACACACACTACTAGATACTAGATTTATGAAGACAATGTGCATTTCAGTGAAAATGGTGTAGAATTTTGTTTAACCCCTTCTGCAAATTACATTGTTATGCCAGTAAGTGGCAATAAGTGTCTTTATATTTGAATCAATCATTCAAAAACACTGAATTATTTAGAAATCAAATAAGTGACTGATAGTATAACTGATATAACTGATAGTAAGAGTCCATCACTTGTGCATTTTGGAATCCTGTTGGCAGTAGGTCTAATTCAAACACATGACTCATTCTGTCAAATACTGTTTTTAGCTTTCTTTATGGGAAGTCGTAATATTGTGATGCAGAGACTCATCTTAATTTAATCATTCACTCAACCAATTTGTTAATAACAACGAATCATTCAAGAACAAAACAACTGTTTTTCCGAAATCGCATGGGGTGGATTTAGGTAAATTGGGACATTTTTCCCAGTCATCTCAATAGCAAAAAGTGTACACCCGCCATGTTGTCATGTGACCATGACATCCATTGAGTTGCTTCTTTGAAATTGACATCTAATCTGGCGTGGCCTCATGGGATAGTAAAGTGTCCATCAGATAAACACTTCATAATCTTGCCAGAAGTAGCCGATTAGGTCATCTGGGTACATTTTTTTTCACCTATACTCTACTATTTAGGGAAGTATGCAATTTCAGATGCAGGGACTGTCTTTATGTCTTTATATTCACAAAACCAATTAAAATACACTAATTTGAGGAGTAAGTCATTAAATCATTCACACAATTGAAATGCTGATTCATTTAAAACGATACCGTTAGCCTAATGTGTTGCGCACAGATGCACAATTCTGCTCTGGCTTTGTTCATGACTATTTAAAATATGAACAAAGACAGTCCCTGGCATTCACATAGAACATTATACATTTCTATTATTCAAATCAGTTAAATGATTTAGGCTGCATAGATCCGGACACTTCCTAAAACACCCGATGCACTCGTTACGTCATGAGAAGAATGGCATCTACGCTAAGGTTGATCTTTCCATTTATTCCAAGGTTTGCTGAAGTCACACATTGCATGTATCCACATCAGATAGTGAACCTGCGCCTGACACGAACACAACGCATCCCTGAAGTGCCAGCCTCATTAGCCCTCACGGACAAACAACAAATTCGTCTCTATACCGGCGTGATGACTCGGACCTCCAACTAGATGGCACTGGATAATACTGTGAATCTTCTGATCCAATCTGACTTCTGACCTGTAATGTTGCCTGAATTATAATCACTTACTATTCGTTCATTGGCAGAGGAGAACTGGCCCCCGACTGAGTCTGGTTTCTGTTTTCTGAGTCTGGAATGGAGTTTTTTTTTCTCCATTATGTCTCCAGATGGAGTTTTGAATACTTGCCACTTTTGCCTTGGCTTTTGGCTTGCTTAGTTGGGAACATTTAATAGGCCTATTCAACAATATTTTTGATCTGCCTTACTTAAGGTGGACAATGAAGCAATTTTCTTCTAGAAACAAACTTCTTGTATTATTTTCATGTTATCACTGTAAAGCTGCTTTGATACAATCTGTAAAAAGTGCGGTGATTTGACTTGACTAAGTGATTGAAGCAAAAATGTATACTGTAAATAGTTCCTCACCAATAGCATTTTGTTTATTTATCTTTTGTACAAAAGCAATATCACACTCACTAATATTCAAAGCCACACACTGCTCCTGTAATTTTGCTTAAATTCTATTGAACAGACAATTAAACGGGACAATTTTTAAGAATTTAATTGGATAATTTTATTGTGAGGAAGTTATCTTACTGAGAAGTGAGCTCCTTCTTCGGACGTGGTTAATCCAAGCACTAGGCCCAGGTCCAGAAAGCTTTTTCAGCTCATGATGAATTGCAATCAATGCATTCCTCCTCAAACCTGATTGTGAAGGAAAAAGACATATTATATATACAGTATATATACAGTATATATATATATATATATATAGACACACACACACACATAAAAACATGAAACAACTTCTTACCTGTCATGTTTCTCACGTGCCTGTAGGAAATGCCAGCACACAGTTTGACCGTTGCAGGCAACATTATCAAATTTTCTTAACCGATGAATGAATAACTACACTTGAAATGTGGGCACGGTGAGTTAGAAGTGGAATCTGAGGAACAGCTGCCTGCTTGAGTCCCTTTATATCCCCGTCAGACAAGGCTGCGTTCTCGTCACCTCGCAGATAAAACAGCACCATCACTCAAAGCACGGGGGTGACCCTGTGTGTCAAGGATGTGCAGTGAACACGACGGCCTATCTGTTACCACTATAAACACGTTGTTACAGATAACGGCCAGTGCCTGAAGACTACCCACACAGAACACTGGTTTGTCCACTTATGTTGTCTGTCTTTTTCAAGTCACAGCAAACAGTGGTACTTATCTACAGATATATTGCTCGAAATGTCGAAATGTCTCACACGACTTGCTCTCCTGAGTCCCTGTCCATTACAGCATTGCTGTAGTTCAGAAGCACAAGTTTATAATGACAAATCATTAGCCAAAAATGTTCAAAATCATCATCATCCTAAATCCTAGCAGTCAAATAAAATGACGACATCACTTGGTGGCATCCCTCCCAAAAAAGAAGGTAGGCCTAATTAGTGGCTTTTCCAAAAATAAACAACATGTGTGTACATTTAAAGTGACTATATAGTAGCTTTCAATAATACCAGAGATGTAAGGGGTGTATTCTGCAAATCCTGGTTACATCTTATTACACGCTGTGCTACACAAACCCATATCAATGCTGCAACGAATCAATTCTCCATCACTAACAACAATAAAAGGCCGATCCAGCCTTGCACTCAAAGGCAATGGAAACTTTCCTAGTTCTATGAAAATATTTGTTTAATGACTTGTAGTTTTCAGTCATTTCAAGCACCTTAACCCACAACCTTGTGTCCCTCAGAGTAATTTATACTTTAAGCCTTAACCTTTATCAGACAAACTTCTAATCAGGAGGTATATGGAACAGCCATGGACTGTGTCAATGACGCTGGAACAGGTGCAAACCATAGCAGTCAATGGATTACAAACTTTAATTTAATTAATTACATATTACACTCTAAAAATGCTGGGTTTATTTCAACCCAAATTTGGATCAAATATTGACAAACCCAGTAATTGGGTTAACATTTTAAATGACATTCTTAACCCAAAGTTTGGGTTAGTCCATATTTTACCCAAAATTGGGTTAAAACCCATTTTTTTAGAGTGATACTTTTTTTTTAATTGGTAACACTTTATTATACAGTGTCTACTGTCCATGTTACATGAGCTTACCATATGATTATGCATAATGACATGCAACTGCCTCTCAACCAAATCCTAATCCTACCCTATAACCCTATAAGCCTATTAACCCTACTTAAATGTATACATTGTAACAATAACACCTTAAAGTGTAACCCTTTTCCCCCAAATTACTTATATTTTATTCATATTAATTATATAAATTAATTACAGTCATTAAATGTGATTTGTCTATAATCTCATTAATCTAAAAAGTTAAATTGAGTCTTTAAAAAAAAAAAAAAAAAAACCATTTAAACGAAAATAATTCAGTTTTCCTTGCCATTTATCATTCAAAGTTTTATGTTTATTTATCACTCATGATAATCACGTATGTTCTCATAATACAAACACATTCACATTTCTAAAAGAACTACACAGTTATGTTCAGGCCAGCACAGGTTTTATTTAGAAGGACTGTCAGGTTTGGCTTCACATGCAGTCAGCGTAGTACAACACCTCTCTTTAAAACGCGCGCGTGTGTGTGTGTGTGTGTGTGTGTGTACGTGAGTGTTTGTGCGTGTGCATGTTTACATTGTGTGAGTGACTGAAGTGACACACAAAGTGCAAATCGTATCATGAGCACTAACCTGGACTAGATTACTAAAAAGGAGGCACTTCATTGGGGTTATCTATCTCCAGAATGACCTATACAAAAAATGAATCCAAAAGGAACCATGTTCTCAAAACCTCATCTTCTCTAATTTCAGAGTTTACTTGCCAAATAAACATCACTTCAGTTCATTTTTAGTTTGGTCATTGTTTTAAAGGCAAAGTTCCCTTTTATGCAGCAATTACACATGTCACCACCAGTTCATTCATCACTTTGTTGTAAGCATGGAGGACATACAGAAAGTATAAGCAAAGCATTAACTCTTAGTCTGGGAAAGGTTCATTTTTCTAAACATTACAGCTTGTTAAATTAGTTCAGAGGATACTGTAGAAATACAAACCAATACAGTTAAAGTTTAAACGACCAGGCCTTCAATTTACAACCCTTTTGTTTAAATGAAAAACAAAACAAAAAAAAAGTGAAAAACCTTTCCTTTATGTTTCCATAGACTAAATCAACATTTACTTGCCAATACAGCATTTCATATCAGATTAGAAGATCAGTCCCTATTCATGATATACTGTAGAGTGCTAGAAACACAAAATAATATGCAGTTTATCAATGCATACTTGGGGGAAATTCTGATTCAAATTCACTGTAAAATCAGTAACACAAGTTAATAGCTTAGCTTAATAGCAAGTTAATAAGTTCTATAGCAATTAACCAACTGTGGTTAGAAGATTTTCTCAATTTACATACGCAACAAAGTGGCAAAAGTGAAGAATATTCCCAGTAATGGTAAATAAAGTACTTCCAAACAAACTCTCAACATTGGCCACAAGTTTTTAAAATAGGAGAAATGCATTAACATGATTCTTTTCTAAATTTCACCTGAAAGTGACCATGAATCATCACAAGCATGTGGCGTATAAAGTCTCACCACAGAGAACAGCATGGCACTAGTATACACAGATATCACACCCCTAAACCATTAACCTTCTAACAGACACATTGGTCCCGCTCGATGAATAGTTGATTGACCATGCAGTGTGCAGTGCAATTTATGTAACGTCACAATACAGTGCAATAACCAGTTATTACACATACATCAGATGAGAAGACGACGTTTGAAATGTTAGAACCTACTAGTGAAAAAGTATACACTTTTTCACTTTAAACCCTGCAGAGGGAATTTCTAGCACTATAGATTAATGGCATAACTGATGCATTATTTGGTAAACACACATCAGTTTAATGATTGGAAATTACATGGCACTTAGCAAACGTACTCGTGAAATAGCTTCAAGTCATCATTTTAATACACTTGATTTGTCTTGAGATTCTCTATTGAACTTTGAGGCTTAAAAAGAAAACCTTGGAATGGTATTGTAAATGCAAGATTATGAAGTTGAGATACATATTCTATTCTATTCCTTCTTGAGTGGCTCCGTTTTGTTACTTATAAATGATCAATTTTTCTTAAATACTCCAAAACTATCATGTATTCTCTATGCACGGGATATAAATGCATTTTAGGGCTGTGTGTTCTGGATTCCTATGATGTCTATACAACGGAAATCCTTTATGCTTTAAATGCATACATTTACAGTTGGGGGAAGATGAATGAAATGTCTTTCTACCAGTTGGCATCTGATTGGAAACTGCATGAAAATGGTATGAAACATCATGTATATGCTGTATTGTGTGTTTGTGTGTCAAGGCTGAAGTGAAGTGGTGCCAGTTTCAGTCTATTAGTGGTTGAAATGTGATTAAATGAAAGCATATTTACACACCGAATCTGGAAAAAAGCTGTTTTGTTGTCCTAGAAAGTGAACATGCTTGGCTGTGTGGATGTATTATTAGATGGTCAATTCTATCTCATCTTGGAGCCGCGTGATCCAAATCCAGCTCATTTTTAAACTTTTTTTACATCAGCAAAATCTGACAGTAGCTCAAGATTGAAGAGTCCAGCAATATCCTCTGATTCAATGCCAAATTGCCTCTGAAAAGCTGAAGTATAATTTATTTTTCATAAATCGGATGAATAAGCCACTTATGAATAATGCGATGAAATGAGAACTCCCTGACTGATTAGTTGTGCTGTTATTGGCTACCTACCCAAAGACCACACCCACTGAGATGGCTTCGCCTTTCACAACCACGGTCTTCAAGCACAAAGGAACTGATACTTTTAGCTTATGGTTGCAGACCACGTAGTGTCCGGCGACTGGAGAAGATGGGATTTTAGAGTGGACTGGAATAGGCGGAAGCTGCCAAATTGAGTTTGCTTTTCAGTGATATCACAAAATTTGCAGATGACACGGGAAGGAAAGAATATGCAGCTCCAATTTCCTTGTGCTTTTAGGCCTTTTATCACTCTCTGCAGTAAAACATGGCAACATACTCAAATACGTGTCTTCCTGTAATAAGCTCTCTTTTTGGCCTGAGAGGATGCAAGGCAATGCACATTGTGGGTTGAGGATGAAGGTGTTACATGTAGATGGAAAGATAAAAGCGGTGGGTAGGTAGAACGAGAGGGATGGAGGAAGAAACGAGAGTGTGCGTGTGTTTGTGAGTGTGTGCGTAAGTCTCTTAAGTTCCCTATATTAGCTTTCCTTTGCAAAATAAAAAATAAAAAGCCCCCTTCCCATTCCCTGTGGAGGCCTCTCTTTGTCAATAAAATCCCCTGAATAATATGAGTTAATATTCTGTCATTGTCAGTGGCTCTTTAATGTTCCAGCAATCCTGAGGGAGCGTGAGGTGAAGGAATAAATGTTCTCCTTTCTGTCACAAAACGGATAAATAAAAAGTCTTTAAACAGGAGATTTGTTTTGTCTCCTGTCCTCTCGGCGGGGCCGTTGATGGATAGTGTGGGCCAAGGCAAGGAAAACGGACTCTTCCGCGCTCTGTCGACTGGTCTTTAAAGGGCAGGAGGAGTTCCTCACTCTTATTCTTTCCTCTCTTTATCACTCACTCGCTTTTGTCCCCTGCAGTCCCGCAGCGATCTGTCCACTAGGGGGCAGAGTGTGACATGGAGTCAACAGAGTTGACACTGGAAGACGAGACCCGGCTTTGAGCGATGGTCACCTCTGGATGCTGAAGGATGAGAGAAAATGTCAGATAAAAATAATTCAAGTTAGTTATGATTTATAAATTCTCTCTCACATATATACATGTACAATCAGGGTCCAAAATTAACACTCACCAGCAGTGTTGGGGGGGGGGGTAATGCACACTACTACACTGTAAAAAAATACTTTTAATCTTTTCTCAAATCAACTTAGATAATGAATGTGGTTCAGATAGAATCCTATTTTGAGTTTCTATTTATTAAACCAATCTCTTTGCTGTATTAACTAATTTTTTTAATTTCAATGAACTCAAAATCTGAAGGCAACCAGGTAACTTTAAATTAAACCAACAATACTTTTTTACAGTGTAGTTATTTTTCCCTAAATCAATTTAACTCTTTCTTCTCCATTTTTTTTTCTCCAGAGTGGGTACTGAATGAAAATAAATGAGTGTGCTTTAGTTCAGTTCAGTTGTGCTTGTTTAATTTGTCGGGAAAATATCAGAATGTGGGGATTGCCTCACAATATTGATCTCTGCATGTGTAGCTGTTGTTTTGAGAATCACTTGCATCTTGGGCAAGAAAATACAATAAAAAAAATGTAACTTATTGTTAGGCATTGATTTACATAAAAGGTGATTACTTTTTTAGGATGCCTAGTTATTTTGTAGTTTATTTACAAAACACTTACACTACCATTCAAAAGTTTGGGGTCAGCAATTTTTTTAAAGAGATAAATACTTTCATTCAGAAAAAAAAATAAATTGATAAAATGTGACAGTAAAGACATGTAATGTAACAAAAGAAGTCTGGAGTAATTCAGCTTTGCCATTAAAGGAATAAATGAATTTTTACATTTTTAAAATAGAACACTGCCCAGAATGCAGAATGCAAAAAAGAGACTTATTTTAAAAATAATCAAACACTTTATGATCCTAAACTTTTTGTGTAGTGGTTATAGTGTATTTCTCCCAGTAAAACAACAAAAATATGAAGAACATATTTTTGTGTTTGTGTGTAAGAGTGAGAGAAATAAAGCTTTATGGCCAGGATGAAATTTGAATAAAAAAATCTAATTTAAACCCGGAAATAAAAATAAACTTTTAGGGATTTTGAAAAAAAAAAAAATATATACCACAAAGAAATATTTTATAATGAAGAAGAAACATAACAAAAAAAACTTCACTCTTTCTAGCTTATTAATCAAATAAATAAATCATGTGAATTCCTGTGCAGAGACTGAAAACCCCCATTACATTTTCATGAATGTGGCAAAGTTATTTTTGGCCCCTGGGTACAATGCTTCAGTCTGATGCTGTTGCTGTTCTGCTCTACGTGTGTGAGCGTGTGGTGTCCTGATGGGGTGTTCGACCTGGTCTGTAGTTAACTATTGTGTTCTCTGGGGTGTTCCTCTGTGGTGGAGGTGGAGGGGATCCTCACATGTCTCCTAAAGATCCTGTCCAGCAGGCTACGCCGAGGAGGCTCAGGAGGCTGGTTCCAATCCAGGTCAGGGGGCCGTGTCCCCTGAGGCCCGAATACATTAAGGTCGCTGAAGCACTCCGTCTCGATCATCTGCAGGACAGAAAGCAGACAAAATAGCAAGAGAGTAAGACAAAAAGTAAGAAATGATGATGATAAGAAGGTGAAATCATCCTTATGCTGATTGGTCAATACAGCCTTCCAGTCATGCTAATATACATTATTAACAGCTATACACTATTAACACCTGCTATACACCCAGGGGACAGCAACCTTTTAATTAATTTAATTTTTCTTGTTCATTACTGTGCCAAATGGAATGTCAAAGATGATGCCAGGTTGAATGATTCATTATTGTGTTCTTATTTTTTGCCATATGGCAGAAGATTTCATACCTCATTTTGCCATGGGATGGAGACGCTGCCAGTGGCAAACTTGGAGTAGAAATCATTGTCTGTTTGGTCCAGGTTGACACCCTTAACGGTGGAGAACTGCTCAATGTCCAGAACATCTTTACAGTAGACCGCCCTAGGCTATGAAATAAGCAAAGAAGGGAAACAAAAGTGAAAAACTAAGAGAATTCAATCCTATGCAAATTTCTAAAGCCTTGAAATGTTCAACATTAACATTCCTTAAAAACCTGTTATCTGATTGATACTTTTTTTGCAAGTAAAAGGCCTTGTATAATAATTGTAAAAACACCTCCTCCCTTCAAGTTGTGGTTCACATGCCTTTCTGCTGTGAAATATTCACTGATTTTTAAATGTAAACGTTAGCCTGGCTTTCCCCATATTGACTTTGCGCAGTGCGATTTTATTCACACTGCAAGGCAGTCTGCATACCATGGACCAAATTTTCGCCTCAGCGAGGGGACCAATCACAGAACAAAGAGGGAGTAGCAAGACGATGACGACGTCTATGCGACACACCGAAGCAGTTTGTTTATACCTATGGATCAAACACGGCAGCAGACACAAAGTTACCTTTAGATGCAGCCGTAGATACAAACGCCATCGTGTACACATGAATCTCTGACCCATCGGCTTCTTCCTCATCTAATTTTCTTTCGCTCTACATATACATCATCTGGGATAATTGAAACAGTTGGCTATGAGCTACCTACAGGTGTATTTGATTCGTAGCACCCAATAAATGGCTCTGGCCATTCGTAAACCACGTCTCAAATTCGAGAAAATGAACATGTGGTTCCCAGTGGCGGCGTTTCACAAAAACCTAGAGTATGGCATCTGGCATAACGTTATATAGAACAACATTACCGAACGATATACTGTACCTCACATTAACAAAATGCACAATGCACTGTTTACTTGTAACGCGTTGTGTCAGGAGGGAAAGAAAATATGGATAGCTCACAGCTTATTAGGCCAGACAGAAACAGCATTCTCTGAAATGGAATATTCAATCCATTCATGAATTTTGTAAAGCTTCGCACACCCACAAAAAACAAAAAAAAAAACAAACCCTTGTTAAAATAATGAAAATACGTTGTTTTTTTCCTGATCCATCATCCAATCAGAGAAGTCGGTGTTTAGACCAAGCGGCGCTCAATGTTATTAATCACTTCATTATCACGTGTTTTGCCTTCGGACTTATTATCAAATTAATATTATAACAATTTTTTAGCAACTTTATTGCACTGAAGTATAGCACGAGTATAAAAAGTCACAAAAGTCTCATGTCGGACTCGCTTATATGAAAGGAATTTCATAATTAAATAAATAAGCCCAGATTTCACAGTGGGAAACCGTGTTTAATTACTCCAGCATCATTTAATGTAAACTGCATTTATGACAAACAAAGAACTAAACAGATGTATATACTATAGGCCTACACGGTCTATCAATAAATGCATGCACGTTTTCATCATAGACAGTAAAAGGTTTATCTGCTTTTGCTCTGACGCTGGCGCTGCGGAGAAGCCGGTTGGGAGTAGCCGGTTTCATATGACTTTTAAAGGTGACGACTGACTGAGCGATCATGAAACGCACATTTTTGGGGGGGCTGGGGTGGAAATTTAGGGGGTTTAAAAAGCCCTCCTAAAATCTTTAACGACCATCATCATCAGCTGATGTTTTATCTGAACTCTGACTGCTAGGGTATGGCAATGGCCAAACTCTGCCATACGCAAACGCCGCCCCCGGGTCTGACGTTAGCCAGGCTATGTAAATGTAAGAATAACTGTGTTGGTAATGTTTCAAGGTGAACATTTGATTAGTTTACTTTATCATCTATGCATCATATTAAGTGGCTTTAAGTACTATGTACTTACATTAAACAATAAGTACAATGTATTATTGTGTTCCTGTTGTATTGTAAATCACTTTTGCTGCTATTGAGGTGTGATCTGGGTAAGGTTAGGGACAGGTGTGGTGGTATGGGTCGGTTTAAGGGTAGGTTAAGGTGTGAGGGGAGGGTCAACTGTGTAATTACAAATGTAATTACATAAACTAATTATAGCTGTAATTACATGCTGGAATTTTAAAATGTAAGTACAATGCAAAACCTTGTATGTACACAATAAGTCCATTGTATCAAATTATTAATTTCAATGCAAGTACATAGTACTTAAAGCCACTTAATATAAAGTGGGACCCATTTTTTTTTTAGAAAAACCAAGTTAAAATGTGAGAATCAAATATGATGCATCAGGACTTTGAGGACATCTGTGAATCATCATTATATTGCATTTCATCATATGTTTTGCCCTCAACAACTACAGAGCTTTAATTGTAAAACAAGGCATGTTAATAACACCTTACTAAGATATATTATTGAGCAATACAGGTTTACATCACAAGCTATCAGAATTTGATTTTACATTTTGGCCATATGAATATGAGCAACTGCACTAAATTGCATTTTTGGTCAGTCTGAGCTTAAATATAACTTCATTTGTCAGGCTTTACAGTGTTAACATCAACTACATGAGATCAGCAACTCACATCGGGCACAAAGGAAGGTTCCAGAATGCCGGCCTCCAGCCTCTTGAAGTTGATGTTCTTAAAGAACGGGTGCGCTTTGACTCCAGTACCTTCATCCGCCTGGCAGCCGAGCCTCTGCTTGGGATCTTTGGCTAACAGCTGTGGAGAGCAGCCAGACAGACATTAGGAACACAGGTTTGTACATTCTTCAAGAGTGGAATGTAAGAGGCCAAGCTGGTCAATGGCTTCAAAACACTAGGAAAAAGAGCTTATGTGCCAAATGAAGACATTTAAATGGGGCAAACATCCTAAAACTAGGGTCAGCAATCACAAACCAGACATCACAAAACCCACACACAGGAAAGACTAAGGCAACTTTAGGAACTTTTTGTGAGGAAAGATGTGGAGGCCATTTGCACACAACATAGAATTTTAAATTAAAACTTAATATTGTAATCATTGACCTTTCTTCATGTCATTCTCCAACAAAACAAGTACTCCATTCGATTCACAAACTATACGTAATTTAAGTACGTTAGTTGGGTCACAGTCAGTGAACAGAAGATCTCAAGCTTCTTATTTTGCCAAGGACTCCCAAATATAAATGATCCATTTTTGAGGGATTTACTTTTAAAAGCAGCTACACTGCCGTTCAAAATGTTAGGGTCTGTAAGATTTTTGTACGTGTTTTTGAAAGAAGATTCTTTTGCCCACAAAGGCTGCATTTATTTGATAGTAAAAACAGCAATATTGTGAAATAATATTGCAATATAAAATATATATGTTCTATTTTGATATACTTTAAAATGTAATTTATTCCTGTAATTTTTCGCTATCATTACTCCAGTCTTTAGTGTCACATGATCCTTCAGAAATTATTTTAATATAGTGATATGATGCTTAAGAAACATTTCTTATTATTATTAATGTTGAAAACAGTTGTGCTGCTTGTTGTCTTTGTGGAACTTTGATACTTTTTTTTCCCAGGATCCTTTGATGAATAGAAAGTTCAGAAGAACAGCATTTATTTGAAATGGAAATCATTTTAACACTATAAATGTCTTTACTGTCAATCAACATAATGCATCCTTGCTGAATAAAAGTATACAGTATGAATTGTAGTGTATACTTTCTTTCATGTAAAAAAAACAATAACCAAAAACATTTAAATTATACAAGTATAATATCAAGTGTGATATTTTAAAAATATTGTACGAAAAAATAGGCTTTTAAATTATAATTGTACAAAGCAAATTGTTAATATATTCTCTATTCTCTAAGTCTTATAGAGCAAAATAAAAGTAATTTCATCAAATTTGATTAATATATATAATACATATATAAAGTAAACATCTTAAGGGTACTTGCTAACTTTCAAATCCCTAAAAAATATATTTTGTAAAATCTGGTTTAAAGCAACATAAGGGTAAGTAAATGACATGTATTCTTTTTTGGCTGAACCGTCCCTTTAAGATTAACAGAAAGCCAGTCGCATGACACAGCTCTAATAAAAGACAGCTGAGGTTCTTTACAATACATTTAGAGAATTAAACAATACTGAACTGAGCTGTTCTCAGAGAGCTCATTATCAGCTTCTTCCCCAGCCGAAAACATGCAATAGCAGCCAGAAAAATGAGCCAGACGTACAGAATGAACTCGATTTGACCAGTTTTGTGCACTCAATCAATGGAATCTTAATCAGCTTCTATGGCGTGTTTGACTGAGGAGATAATGTAGCTTTGGATACAAGCTCTTAGTTGTACTCGACTGTGTCATCTTGGCTTTTGACCAGCATAGAAACTTCATTCTTTGTGCATGTGTGTATGTGTGGCCTCACCATCCTGCAGATGGCTTTGGCGTCTTCTGAAAACTTGTCGCTGTACTCCTCTTCCTCCTCCTGCACCCTCTTCTCCACTTCTTCCCTCTTCACCCGCTCTTTGCGAGCGCGGAAAGGCGATCGTCCAGCGGTCATCTCATAGATCAGGCAACCCAACCCCCACCAGTCCGGACTCATGCTATAGCGTTCATTATTGATCACCTCTGGAGCTGTCCATCAACACAGATTCAATTCATCAATCAATAAATAACATTTCCATGCTTCATATTGCCATGAAGAGATATCCAGTAGCACTGAGTAGTGCAGCTAAAAACAAAACCTGATATTTTTCAGCCTTTTGATTATATTTGGTATTCGATAGCATTCACATTTTTGGGGTCTGTTAGTTTATTTCATGCTTTTGAAAATAGTATCTTGTGTTCACAGAGGCTGAATTTATTTGATCAAAAACTGTAAAAACAGTAATATTGTGAAATTGTATTACAATATAAAATAATTCGCATGAATTATCATAATTTTTAAGACATCATTGGAATATGCTGCTTGGTGCTTTTTTTCAGGATTCTTTGATAAACACAAAGTTCAAAAGCATTTATTTGAAATATAATTTTTTTGAACTGAATATAATGAAATAATTTAATTATGATTAAAGTAATAAATTACAAATTACTTTGCAGTCACTTTTGACCAATTTAATGCATCCTTGCCATACATAAAAACATTTGAATGGTACTGTAATTCAATACATATAATACTTGTTAATTTGATTGGAAAAAAAAAAAAAAATATATATATATATATATATATATATATAAAGAGTTATGATTTATTTATAAATGAAACATGCTATTTTGCTTAAATCAATAGAGCTAAAGATCATTATTACCCATGTAGCCCACAGTTCCCACTCGACCACGGATCTGTTCTCCATCAGGCACTTTAATGGCCAGTCCCAGGTCTGAGATCCGGATATGACCTGTAGGGATAGATGGAGTGGGAATAGTATCAAACAAACCCGAACCAAACGAGTTAAATGTAAAATGAATTTATTGTTGCATTTCACAATTTATTACACTGTCAATGACTGAATATTAAATGTATATATACACACTTTATAATATATTTATTTATATATTTTGACATTTGGGCTTTAAATTAAATATTTATTAATATGGCAAACCTTGAAAACCTTAGTCCTTGAAATCAATCAAATAAATGATGGAATTAATCCATAAATAAAAAATATTTAAATAAATGTATGCATTTTTTGTGTGCATAATCTTTTTCATTCGTTTGAGATTTCGTGTGAACTGATTAAAAACACAAACAAATAAACTTTATTATTTAGATGGAAGCCAGTTTCAGCCAGTATTGGTACATCCCTAGACCAAATCCCAGTACATCCCTTGATCAAATCCAATTTAATATAATGTCATTATATTATATATAATATATATTATATTAATTATAATGTATAATGTTAGCTCATGAATGAAAAACTGATCTTCTTGACTTACCATTATCATCTAAAAGTATATTCTCTGGTTTTAAATCCCTAGAATGAAAGAAAGCAAGATAGAAATGTCTCAACCAAAGAATTTCATTATAATCTTATGAGGATTGGGTGCTTTTGAGGATGGTGAAGAGTCACATGTTGGTTCCTGCCCACCTGTAGACGATAGACTCTCTGTGAAGGTGTTCTAGACCACAGCAGATACTGGCCCCATAGAACTGCACACGCTCCTTCTCGAAGCCCGGGGTTCCCATGTTATAGATGTGAAACTTCAGATCACCACCGTTCATAATGGTCAGCACCAGACACAGGGCATCTTTGGTCTCGTACGCGTACGCTAAACTAACCTGAGGGTCAGAGAGAAGAGGATGCCGATTCTCAAAAATACATTTTTTCCCCCTTTTATAAGTATACAAGCAGTGAGCAAGTCTTTATTGGACAAAAAATTAAACGGAGACAGATATTACGGAGGAATACAGATTAGAGGCTTTACTGCCAGGCCACTAGTGACAGGATCACCCAAGAGGATGTTTAAACCAGGTGTAAACATGACATGAGTAAAGAGAGGAAAAGATGAAAGAACAGAATAAACGAATGAATCTGCTTACCACAAACCTGCTGTTGACCTTCTCCAGAATCTGTTTCTCATTTAGAGCCATGGCCTCTCCCTTTCTCTTCTTTATCCTTTTCTTCTCAAGCTTTTTACAAGCATACATTTTACCTGTGGCTCTCACCTGGCACGCACACACCTGGACAGGGATGTACATATATTATCAACACATACACACACACACACGCGAGAAGTCCATCACCGTATAAAGCCTGCCTTGGCAATTTGATTGGCGTGAACATTTTTTGCCTGATCATAATTACTCCTCAATGGATCGAGTCCAGACCGAACTTCCCGACCAAAAAATGTTGTGGGTGGAGTTCGGGCTGGCATCCAGGCTAGCATCTCTGCACAACACACGAATAATGCTCTTAATGTGAGTTTAGACAGTAGACTAGACTTGATGTTTGCATGTGGCTAAGGTGATAGAAACAAATGAATCAACAATTTTGGTTATTGGGTGGATTTCAATGATGTAATCATCAACTCTTCTGGGACTACCTATGATGAGGATACATGCACTGCTTCGCTGTTTGGCCAAAAAAAGCCATCTCAAAAGGCAGTATGATTTATTTCAACTTTTAGAAACAGCCTTTGGTGAGCACACTTGTAATGTCTAAAATCACTGTCTATGTCAGTGTTTCCCAACCACTGTGCCGTGACAGGTTGTTAGGTGTACCATGGAAAATGATCAGATTCCAAAAAAATTCATAAAAAACAAATGCTACAAATAAGAATATACTGTTGCTGTCGGGTGGAAACCTTGTATCTAAAAAAATTGTCATTTTTGTTTTATCTTTTTAAAAAATGTATGCCATTGGTCATCCTTTACGTGGGTTTTACAAATAGTTAACCAATAAAAAGCATTTAAAAGAGGTTGTGATTAAGCCTTGTAACTGATGCAAGGTCTTACATTAAACCAGTTGTCACCATAATTCCTCAGAAACGACACAGCGATTGTGTGTAATGATTAGCATGTTTTTACTTTTTGTTTAGTTTTTGGTGATAACTCTCACACTCACAATGTTTGCTTGTGGCATTTTTTGTCAAAGCCAACATGCAGTATTATAGACAGACACGATAAGCTAGGCTGAGTTGACTTTTTCACGTCACAGTTTGCTACTGATTTAAATACATTTAGGCCACTTAACTTAGGGTGTATTCACACCAGGAAAGTCCGATAGTTCACTTGCTTTGGTCCGGACCAAATAAATTATTATTTTTTTTTTTTTGGTACGGTTCGCTTTCACACTGCTCTTTTTGCAAGTGAACCAAAATTTGTAAACCAAACCACACGTGTGCTAAGGTCGTCCATTCATTGGACAAGGATTCTCAAGGGAAATCAGGAAGTGCAAAAAAGGCTCAGCATGGAGATATTTCCATATATTTCATACTGCAATATTTGTTCATACTGCAATATTGTGCAATATGAGTATCATATGATACAATGTCATCTATACGAAGTTGTAATTCGGATTTTGAGAAGACGACGAGTGTAACGTTTGAGTGGCTCTATAAACGCGGGGAAATACGACAACTCTCGTCTCTCGTGCATCTTTTCATTCGACCACCTTCTGTTTTTTTTTATCTCTGGGCAAGATCTCAACTTTGCGTTACAAGTGGCACTGCACAGAAGACGGAGAAGGTATAAAGTTTTCATTCATAGAGAGGGGCTATGTTCACTCATTCAAATAATGAGATTCTTATTGTGTACTAACAAGTGCTGTCAATGTTAACGCTTGCGATTAAATTTGTCCAGTTTAACGTAAATTAACGCATCATCATCCTTGTATTGTAACTATCCTTACATTAATAATAATACATTACATTTATATAGAATTTTTCTCGGCACTCGCTTTAAGGGGGAAACTCGTCAACCACCACCAAAAGGTGGTGAACTGCAAATGCTTTATGAACTGCAAATGATATTTTTTTTGCATCTTTGCGCGATTAGACATTCACACACGACGCGCAGAAAGACGTGCAGAAAGACGCGCAATATTCTCTTTCGACGCAGTGCTTTCTTGCAATTGGGTCGGTTCATGTTCACACCGTAAACGAACCGTACCAGAGTTCGTTTGGAACCGTACCGAGACTACCTCTTCAGCTGGGTCTCGGTTCGGTTGTTCGGTCCGCACCCGAGTTCGATTGCTGTATTCACACCTGCCCAAAAGGTCCGCACCAAGGGGGCAAACGAACTAGAGTTCGATTCAATCGAACCAAACAAGGCAGGTGTGAATACACCCTTAGTGATTGCTATCAGGATGTGTAGAGACTTTCAACCAGAATAACAAAAAAATGTTTCTGGAACAAATCACCCACCTCGTCTTTAAAGAGTAGAGAATAGTCTAGTCTGGTATTTCCTGTCTAGTTGAAGCAAATATACCGTTTTAAATATCCTGAGCATAATTCTTCGTCTTTTAGATCATTAGATTGTATTCAAATGTATTCAACAACAAGAAAAACTGAGTGCCCATACAGCTACAATAAACCTTATGTTACTTACTGCGTCAGATGCGGCTGTTCAAGTACATGACAAAATATCTCTGTCATTCGCTAGTCAAAACTCTTGTAACTCAATTTGAGTGATCTTCATAAAATGTTAAAATTATGACACACGCAAGTGTCTGAAGATATACAAAGTCACAATACCAACTTTGACAACAGTGTTTGTTTAAAAAATATGAGGTTTCCACCTGAAAGCGACAGTGTTAACTTGTTGTATTATCATCCAACAAAAACATCACAGCTACCTATATGACCTTATTGTGACTTAAACTCAATTTTCACTTTAATTGCGAGTACTACTTTTAACATTATATTCAGTTTTGATACGGCATTTAAAGTAATGCATTTTTTTTCGCAATTTTGTTCTATTTTAGTGCTTAGTGGTGTGTCATGGGTTTTTAACTTATCAAAACTGCCGTGGCAAAAAAAAAAAAGGTTGCGAAACACTGATCTAATGTGGCAGCTCACTAGTTTTTATTATACAGAGCAACTGAGGAAATATTCAGTACACACACACAGTGCAGGTCATCACTTTTTACAGCACCCTTACCTCTCCAAAGCCTCCTTTCCCCAGAACTCTATACTGCCGAAATGTGTCTTTTGTGATGGACTGTCTGGAAACGAAACCACAAAATCTGATATCAAATCAGCGCAGACAGGAGCCTGACATTTTAACATTCAGATCCATTAGCTAGGTGGAGCACAAGCTACATTACAAGTTATACACTACATTAGCATAGGCTTGGACACTGCAAAGTAACTTGAACGTTTCATGACCCAAAACATGACTGTTTGCTTTCTGCTTTTGTGTGTTGAGCTGTTAACAATTACACTAACACATAATTTAAACGGATTAGTGTCTGTACTGCCATAACAGCTGAATATGATTTAGCCAAATGAAACAAAAGCAGGATGTCTGGTTAAGCAGAGCAAAGAACTTCCTCCAGCAAACTAAAAAGAATGAAATACACAACTTTTAAGTAGATTAAAAAGGTAAAGACAGAGGAAAGGGAGTTAAAGCGTGTAACCAACCTTTCCAGCATTTTCCATTGGAGGAAGCGGTCGAAGTACATGCTGTTCTGATAGTCAGAGAACGGAGCACCACTTAAGTAGTCATGAATAGTTCTGTGAGATTCAAAACAGCATGGAGACTGTTAGACCATAAGCAGCACTGTTAGTGCAGTTGACTTACTTTAGCTGAACTGTGACACTATTTTCTTTTACAGCTGCTCTACAGCTGACATTACCTCTGTTTGTATCAATGAATCATTTTCACTGTAAAACTGCTTTGGAACCATCTGTATTGTATAAAGTGCTATATAAATAAAGGTGACTTGACTTCTACACAAGACACAATATGCAAATATTCCAGAAGTATTATAGTAGTTTGCATCTTTAGGGACACAAATGCATTAAATGATCAATATCCCAGCAAAAAAATACATAACCCTTAATTCTTACTTAAAATCATACTGACCCCAAACTTTTTAACTGTAGGTTATTAGCTAAAAAGGTTTGGGTCAGTACGATTTTGAGTAAGAAATTAATAGCTTTACTTATGTACATATGTAAATTTATCAAAAGTTCCAGTAAAGACATTTACAATGCTACAAAAGATTTCCATTTCAACTAAATGCTGTTCTTTTGAACTTTCTATTCATGAAAGAATCCTAAAAAATAAAATAAAAAAGTTTGTGACTTCTAATTTTGACACTGAAGACTGGAGTAAATATACAGCTTTGCCATCTCAGGAATGAATAAGATTACAAATTAGAAAACATTTATTTTAAATTGTAAAAGTATTTCATATTAGCCTTGGTGAGAATTAGAAATGTCTGAAAGGTAGTGCACTTCCCATCACTGGTTGAGAACATATCTTCAGCGCATACACTCACCTAAAGGATTATTAGGAACACCATACAAAAACGGTGTTTGACCCCCTTTTGCCTTCAAAACTGCATTAATTCTACGTGGCATTGATGCAACAAGGTGCTGAAAGCATTCTTTAGAAATGTTGGCCCACGTTGATAGGATAGCATCTTGCAATTGATGGAGATTTGTGGGATGCACATTCAGGGCACGAAGCTCCCATTCCACCACACCCCAAAGATGCTCTATTGGGTTGAGATCTGGTGACTGTGGGGGCCATTTTAGTTCAGTAAACTCATTGTCATGTTCAAGAAACCAATTTGAAATGATTCAAGCTATGTGACATGGTGCATTATCCTGCTGGAAGTAGCCATCAGAGGATGGGTACATGGTGCCCATAAAGGGATGGACATGGTCAGAAACAATGCTCAGGTAGGCTGTGGCATTTAAACGATGCCCAATTGGCACTAAGGGGCCTAAAGTGTGCCAAGAAAACATCCCCACACCATTACACCACCACCAGCCTGCACAGTGGTAACAAGGCATGATGGATCCATGTTCTCATTCTGTTTACTCCAAATTCTGACTCTACCATCTGAATGTCTCAACACAAATCGAGACTCATCAGACCAGGCAACATTTTTCCAGTCTTCAACTGTCCAATTTTGGTGAGCTCTTGCAAATTGTAGCCTCTTTTTCCTATTTGTAGTGGAGATGAGTGGTACCCGGTGGGGTCTTCCGCTGTTGTAGCCCATCCGCCTCAAGGTTGTGTGTGTTGTGGCTTCACAAACGCTTTGCTGCATACCTCGGTTGTAACGAGTGGTTATTTCAGTCAAAGTTGCTCTTCTATCAGCTTGAATCAGTCGGCCCATTCTCCTCTGACCTCTAGCATCAATAAGGCATTTTTGCCCACAGGACTGCCGTATACTGGATGTTTTACTCTTTTCACACTATTCTTTGTAAACCCTAGAAATGGTTGTGCGTGAAAATCCCATTAACTGAGCAGATTGTGAGATACTCAGACCGGCCCTCAAAATTGCTTAAATCACCTTTCTTTCCCATTCTGACGTTCAGTTTGGAGTTCAGGAGATTGTCTTGACCAGGACCACACCCCTAAATGCATTGAAGCAACTGCCATGTGATTGGTTGATTAGATAATTGCATTAATGAGAAATTGAACAGGTTTTCCTAATAATCCTTTAGGTGAGTGTAGTGCAAGAATACGAACTAATATTAAACCATAGTCAAAACTTTAGTTTAAAAAAAAGTTTAAAAAAGTATTTATTTCTATAATATTTTATCAATATAAATCAAATAAAAAATTAAAACCACCACAATATATGTGTAACAAGAACGGTTGGGGCCGAGGTTAAAGTATTTGAATTTGCTTAGTATAAGAGCAACAGAAGTTAAGGTGTTTACAAGCGTATTTGCATTTGTCTTACTGGCGACAGTCACTGAAGATCTCCTTGCAGGGGCTCAGTTCTAGATTTTCTCTGCAACTTTCAGCAAGACCTTCAGCCACATCCACACACTCAGAGGACTGTCAGAGAAACAACATGCTCTGATTACTGATGCCCAATGGGACATTCAAGATCCAAAATTAACACACACACACAGACACAGACACACACACAAAGTAAAGTTAAACCAAATCACACCTGCTTGGTGAGAAACTTCTTGATGATCTCATCTCCTCGACTCTTCCTCTTTTCATCTGGCGCCACCTCGTATTCTTCCTAAATCACCAGATACAAACAAATTACAACAAGTTTTAACTAAACATTGAGACAAACAAGGTATAACATAATCCAAAATATAAAATGACACCTTACGACACATTGCACCTAATTTAGAAATGTATGAAATGGTAACCAGCCTCAGAGAAGCCAGTCTGAATTATATTGCACATAAATATGTCAAATTGCAGTTTCTGGGAGTTAGGGAGAACAGGTTTTTAATCAGTCGTCCACTGAGAAACAATATTTGGTTTACAAGTTCCCAGCCCTTCCTGAGTTACCAAGGTTCATACCATCCAAGGGATAGGTCACCCAAAAAAGAAAATTCTGTAATTAATTTCTTACCCTCAAGTTGTTCCAAACCTTTGTGAATTTATTTCATCTGCTGAACACAAAAGATGATATTTTGAAGAATTTCAGTAACCAAACAGTTAATGGGCCCCATTGACCTCCATAGTGTGGAAATAAAAATACTAGGGAAGTCAATGGAGCCCATCAACTGTTTGGTCACCGGCATTCTTCAAAACATCAACTGTACTTCACAGAATAAAGTAAGTAAAACAGGTTTGGAACGGTTAGTAAATGATGAGAATAAATGTAATTAGCAATCAGGTTGTTCTTGTTAACTAAATCTAAAAAAAAAATAATCTATTACAATTAGTTTCAAATGAAGCAACAGTAAAATACATTTTAAATGAAATACTTCAACTTCAACTTATTTTTATTTTGGTTAGTTGCCACCAAGACAACATTTCTAATCTCTGTTAAAGTTGAAGTACTAAAATTCCTAAATCTAAAACTGAAATAATCATAAATTAAAGTTTATGCTTACTAGAGGTGCAGCAACCCAATTTTTCAGGGGTATCCAAACAAAATGCTGTGCCATTATTTAATTTCTTTTCACACCACTCAATTATTATTGTTTATAAAACGTTTAGTTCCAATCCTTGATTCTGATTGGTCAATAGCTATAATTTATTCATGATAAAACACGGCTATGACCGCTTTACCCAACGCATCTATTTATCACTGGGTAACACTGCGGTTCCTATGTTGTTTTTATTTGAGCTTTCATGCATATTACACATTGGATCATTGTTGCTGTTCACGGTCAGGGACTATTTTTTTATCTAGTGGAAGGAAGGCTTTTAGTGATTTTACTTCATGAAAGTTGCACTAATACATATTTTTTTACTTTTATATTTTTATTGTGTGGTGACCGTTTTATAAAAGCAATAAGGTACTCGAGGCAAGTGCTGAATTTTGAATAAGTAACGGCTGAAAGGGTTTTGCGGCTGTAATAAGTAACGGCTGAAACAGCTGACTCGCTTCGCGTCATGCCTAACAACGCCCTTCAGCCGTTACTTATTTACGATACAGCACAGCCTCTCGTACCTTATTGCTTATATAATCTATTTTAGAACTCAAAGTAAAAACAACTGTGGTAAGTCAAATTAAAATGCCGGTGAAATGATCTCTTCCTGTCTAAGGAGGTTTTTATGGTCATTATTAGTTGCAACATGGACCAGACTTTATGTATTAGTCAAAGATCTAGTCACATGAGACTAATGTGGATCAGACTCTGTGCCTATACTAAAAAAATCTTGAGTCTAATGAAACAGAGACATACAGAGGGTATTAAGTGAACTCATATCACTTGTTCAACACTGGGAAAAAAGAAACTACATCCAGTGACTTCACCATTACTGATGGTATCTATTTCTATATGCTGAATGAAGAAGAGGCATCATGTAACTGAGTCTGCAAATGATTACACAATGAATGAGCTCTACAGTCTGGCACGTCCTTTGCCTTAGGGGTGTAGATGTGCTGTGTGTATGTGTGTGTGTGTGTGTGTGTGTGTGTGTAGGGGGGTAATACTTGATGACACCCTAATCAACACACTCTCCAGCCCTCGTGCTCTGTGGATCCCATTACGCAAGACTCTCCATGACCACCTGCCCCTCTTTCAGTTCAATCCCGAATGATGTAAACACATACACACAAGATCTCACGCCCACAACGAAGCATATGTACCCACAAATAGGTTTTCACACAAATCACGTGTCGGCACCCGCGTCACACGGCCCGGCTGTAGAGCACGAAAAGCACATACACATATGCTTCGCGACCGCACACACATGGTTCATGAAGCCCACCGTGTGTGACTTCAGGTTGCTTGGTAACCAGCCAGTCAACACGGCAGGATTCCATAAGGTCCTGGAGCGCCACAGCACGGCCCAGCAGCGTCACTAAATACATTGAACGTCATTACATAGTGGGGGATGTGTGCATGTGTGTGTGTGCGTCTCGACACATACAGAATGATTTCCATTCCCCTTAACACATTTGGCAACTCATCCATTGGAAGATTGCTGTGAGTAGTGGAGGAAAAGAATGTACATGGAATGTTCAGAGTTCAATAGAAGTCAAGTTCTTTTGAAATAATTTCAACTAGTCCCCAAGTTAAAGGGATAGCTCACCCATAAATTAAGGATCTGTCATAATCATTGTGGAACATGCTTACGTGGTATGCGAGAACAAACCTCATTGGCTCTCGTGCATCAACCAAGCAAGTTTGAGCTTCTATTTTGTTTCTATGAATATGCAAATTAACTTAATAACTGTCTATATCAGCAGGTATCATAGTCTATATTTGTCATAAAAGGAGAAACCGAAACAATGATATACAAGATATATGAAAGGTAAACAAAGCAGCACTTGCATACTATGGAGTATCAGTTACTGTATGTTGATAACTTAATTCATACTCATGTTGTTATGAAAATATTCATGTTTTAGAAGGCCTGGGTAGGATAACATAACAATAGCCCAGCCTTCTGTTTGTGCCATCTTGACTTGCTCTCTTTCATCACTTTCGCTTTAATTCTTGGGCACTGACTCGTTCGCTAAACTGAACATACAATCAGAGTTCCTACTATCACCGACGCCTTCAGAGCTGGCGTGCGGGACACTTAATAAACTTTGATGCAAAAATAACAAATGTAAAGCCATTATTTCTGTTAAAGCAATAAAAACACATGAAATACTTTTTTATTATTTACACAGTTGTCTAAATGTCTTATCAACCTAAATCGTCTAATTGTTAAAATCATCTGTTTTGAGGTGGAACTACTTTTCCAGTTGTCTGAACCTCAGGTTGTTAGTTACTAATGTCCTGTCCTGTGGGTGTAGTTTACATATGACGTAACCAGTGTTGTGCAAGTTACTTCCAAACTGTAATACATTAGGTATTACTTGTTACTGTTATTTAAAAGTAATTCATTACCTAACAATATTACTGTCCCAGAATTGTAATGCGTTACATTACTCATGTATTACTTTTTAGTTACTTTCACCAAAATAACTAAGTAAAACTCAACTTTGGGGCTGTAACGATATGCAATATGAAACCGAAATCGCGATTCGCCACACGACTCAGATCAACGAACCTACAGAATCGCGACAAACCTCTACCAACTCCAGCGTTATTCTCCTTACCGTCCAGATCCAATGCTGCCTTATCTATAAATTAGGCTATTAGTATTATTTGAAGATAACATTATAAAATACGTAGACACCACAAAACTAGTTGAGGGTAAATTATTTAAAATTGGGGAAGTCCAGCATTATGGACATGACATTTGCAGTCAAAACTTGAAATAAAAATTCTCAGAAAATACATGTATTGAAACGTATATAGGCTACTTCCTTAAAGGACTCCAGACATTAGACAAATATCAGTCTATGTTTTATTTTTAATATTAGGGAAAAGACACATTCATGCGTGACAAAAAAAATAGGAGGCAAAATCGACTAGTGGCCAACTAGTTACACTGCGCAAATCGGATGAGGAAGGGTTGGCTCTCCAGTCTCCATAGAACTTAAAATATTCATTTTATTTTAGTTTTCGTGTTCGCATTTATGAGGAAAAAACAATGTTATAGACGCGACCGCTCTGAACTGGCACTAAAAGACTGCTTTAAAACTTTCACATAGTCTGTTGCCTTTAAGAAGTAAAAGCAGACAATACACTGTAATACAACTGTAATACAAGCCTCACTGAACATGTAACGAGTAAAATATTACTGAAAATTGATTAGTAATGCCTTACACTACTGCGTTACAGCAAAAAGTAATATGTTACTGTAATGTATTACTTTTGTAATGCGTTACTCCCAACACTGGACGTAACAAACTGTAAAGCACTGATTACATCTCTTTCTGCCGATCTTGTAAGTATCTTGCAAAAGTAACCGGGTGTATTGACTTTACCAGAATAAAATAAGTTCTTAGCCTCATATGTTGATGAATCTGGGTTATTTTAAATAAGGGAGTGTGTGACCACATATAATATGTTTGCCATTCTATACTGTACCAGCTGAATCAAATTAATCTGATATTTCTGCATCAAAATGCAGACAATCTTTAAGTAAGCTATGATGTGCATGAAAAAGATCCAGCAAGTTTGTATTTTAGAAAATTGTAATGGATATGTCATTATATACACTAAAGGTTATAAATGTTATTCTATTATAACCTGGCCAGGGCTTGACATTAACACCCACCCACCCACTAAATGTTGCCAAATTTCAGCAGTCACTCATTTGGTTGGTTGAATTTTTTTATATAATATATAAACTTATCAATTGTAGTCTTTTAAAAAAGGCATCTGAAATAATAAACTGTCAAATGCAGTGTAGTGTTGTAAAAAAATTGACATTTTTCAATACATATCGATACTCATTTTCCGCAGAATTGATACACAATACCAGGTGCGCTTTCTCAATCCCTTATTTCTCCGACATCGAGTTGACACACAATCACATATTGTTTGTGTTACAGGCTTGAATTCCGCCATGGGATTGTGGTCGCCACCTCTCAGTAAGAAATTGTGTTATTTTTCGCTGCTTATTGCACTTAATAGTCAAATACACACAAAATAATGTCAAAATGCAAGTCTTGGTAAGTATTCATGTAAACAGTAAGTTGAGAACGTA